CGGAGTCCCGGCCCGTTCCAGCCCTGCGCCAGCGCGGCCGCCCGCTCCCGGCGCGCAACCTCCCGCGCTCCCTCCCGGCCACTTCATCCGCCACCTGCCGCCTCCGCCGCGGCTGCGCCCCGGCCCCGCGAGGAGCGCAGCGGCCGCGGGGGGGCTGCGCGGCCCCGCGCGCCCCCCTCCCCGCGCACCTTGTCGAGGCAGTTGACTTTCTCGGTGGGATAGACCACTTTGGCACAGCGGGCGCACGGCGGGTTCATGCTGAGGCTCGCGGCGGGCCGCGGGCGGCGGCGGGGGCTGCGGGGCGGCGGGCGGCGCTGCGCGGGGCTCCCGCGGGCCGATGTCGCATCCCCTGCCGGGGGCGGAGAGGCGGGAGGGGGGTCGTGGGCCGCGGCTGCTGCGCGGCGGGAAGGTCACGGGCGGCGGCTGCGGAGGGAGCGGCGCTCCAGCTGACTGCGGCTCGGCAGCATGTGCGAGTGGGCGGGCGGGGAGCCGCTGCCCGCCCGCCCCCGCCGCCGCCGGTGCCTGCGCGCTGCGCTGCGCTCCCGCGGCCGCGCTCGTGACTCACGGCGCTGCGCAGCCGCCGCCACAGGGAGGGGGGACCTGCCCGCCGCGGGGGCGGCCCTTCCTGGGGGGCACGGGAGGTGCTGTCGCCCCCCCACACACACCTCGGAGGAGCGGGAGGAAGGCTCGCCTTCCTCCTCCCCCCCGCCTTGGCGGAAGCAAGCAGCCCGTTTTGGGCTCAGAAGTGCGCTTTTCATGCAAAACGCCTCCCGCGGAGCTGCAGCGGGCAGCCTGTGTGAGGCGAATAGCTCAGTGTGAATTAGGGCTTGCAGGCAGAGGCAGTTCCCGTCACTGCGGCGCGGGCGCCCTCCCTGCCCGCCGCTCCGCACGCGCCTTGCTCGGCGGGCAGCGTTTTGCGGCGTTCCCGGGCGTTGGGACCGGGACCTCAGCAGCCTCCCGAGACGCTGAAATGGGCAACYCCGAATTGCTGCCAGAACAAAAGATTCAGCTCCTCCGAGCAGGCTTTTGGCATTCATTTTGGGTTTGATCATTAAGTGCTGTGGGAATGATGCAGGGGGGGGAAAAGGACGCATTTTTCCCTAGAGGTGGGCTTGTTTCACCACCTGGAATATAAACCATGCAGAGGGAAGTGCTCAGGTCAGTGCAGTGCAGCCGATTCCGAGGTGGGAGGTTTCTCGGTAGGGTAAGGACAAATTCTGCACATAGTTGAACATTATTAAGTAATCAGAATGCAGCCAGCTAAACTGGAATACTTGGCTGTAATTCTCCCTTAGCAACCCAACTTTTATGCGCCGACTGGTTAAAGGCATAGGGAGAAACATCAGCGTCATTGAAATTAATAATATACGTGATTAAATGAGAAATACCTAATCAGGCTTTAAATATTATATGACAAAAGTTGTAAAGCTTCTTCTGCCTCATCTAGGGCTAAACATCTGGCAAGCAATACAACTCAGAAGGAGAGGCTGGCTCTGCTACAAGCAACAGGAAAGCAGATTTGCAGGCAATTTTGTAAATGCTTGTCCATTCTGAGTGTCTTAGTGCGACAGAAAATGGCAAGCTATTGACCAACTAGGTTTTCATTCCTGAAGTCTGATCCATTTGGGGACTAGCACAGGCCATTCCCAGAATTTAAAAATCATGAATTGGATTTTTTTTTTCTGTTGTTGTTAACCAGATCGTTTTTTGGTCTGGAATCTAAGATTTAACCTCTCAGTGTTCTTCACAGACGTGATAGTTTTGCTCAAATGCCTTCATTTTGCCTTCAACTTATTATTTCCAGTATTCTCCAGGCAGATATAGGTGCATATACGCCCTGCAGTGCAGATGCAGTGAATCTCATCATCTGCTCTGTGTGGACTACACAGATTGCCTAACACTTTCTGCTGGACACTCTGACTAGAGGTAGACAATAGCTTTTATTCAAGGCTCTCCAAATGCCAGGAATCTGAGCATATTGGTAAAGAAACTTGAATAGGTGGTAACTTGACCTTTTCTGCAGGAACTCTCATTTGTGGAGCTAAGATCACTGCTGAATTGAACTAGACGTGCACAGCCATCGAGGAAGCGTTCTGCTAAGGCTAGTGTGGAGAGGGAGTAGCAAGTCTATAACAGGAATTGGCATGGACACCCAGCTAAATTAATCTTAGATAGAGAGCAGGGGATTTATTTTTTGCTTAGCTGAACTGCATTCAACCTGATAGTTTACAAGCGAAAAGGCTTTGTAGCTCATTAGAAATACTTAGAGGCATAGAGCTCCCCCAAAGCACAAAGGCGAAATCTCCAAGAACGAAGCATATTCTTGGAAGTTCTGGTTTATTAAAATCACATTCAGAGCCATCTCCTCAGCATACAGACAAAATTCATTTGCATATTACTCTTAGTCTCCACACTGCAATAAAAATCTCCAATCTTAGAGGGAGGAACCAAAATATAAACGCTAAAAYGAAATAGTAAAATAAATAGGAATATCTGCAATTCTATATTAATTGTTTTGGCAGTATGAAAATATTCCAATATTTATCATTATTTCATGATCATTTAATTAGCTTTTAATAGTTTTTCCCTTAGAACAGAAAAATGTCTGAATAAGAATCTTCATTGCCATAGCACAGAGCTCGTTCCTCGTGAACCACAACTTTTTTCCTTTAGTGCTATTATAATGAAAAGCAGGTTCTTATGTTCTGTACAAATCAGTGGGAAAGAAAAATCCATTTCATCAGCTTTGTAAATCTGGTAAATCTATTTTACCAGACTGTTTCTGAGAAAGCAGTGAATCATTATTCATCATTAGTCTTTTTCCATTCTTATGAGTAGATAATGAAGGAGCGGTAAGGTACAGCAAAGCGAAATACAACCACCCTGCTAGTTCACTAAGCATGGATGGAATAAAACAAGGACTGCTGTCAAGAGGAAAGGGCAAAGATCTTTCATACTAGCTAGAGAGCTGGAGACACAAGTGTGGAGGCTATAGAAGACAGTGGACCTCTAGACAGGCTTAAAAGTGGTCCCCAGCTAGAATTATAAGGCACATCTATGACTTTACACTCAASCTCATTTAACGCATTTCATTGCTGTTTATCTAGCCTAGGTGACTGAAAAGTGGTTGTTTGGCAATGCAGTGCAAATCAGCACTAGCCACAGATATATTCTTTTTTTTTTCAGCTTACCTGTAGTGGTGCAAGTGAGAAAGCCCTTCTTGGGCTGCATAGTTAAAACATTGGAAATATTATGACAGGGTAGCAAGGTGCCTATAAGATTAAAGTTCCTAGTTCTGCAGGGTACTGTTGCAACACTGCAATACTCACTGCATTGCCTATATAACTGAGAAGTTTTCAGTGCTGTTTTCAGTTCATGAATGTAAAGGTACATCCATGGATGTAAAGGAAGATACCTTTACATACACTAGTATGTACATACTTTAGCATTAGTATGTAAAGGTATGCAGCAGAAAAAAAAAAGTATTGAAATGCAGTTTCATACTGAATTTTACCTGAGCCAGAAGAGGTTTTAAACAATTTTGGTAGATAATTACTCACTGTTACTGAAAGTATCTTGAAAGAGGCCACCCATAGAGGTTCATTTCTACTTTCTAGGGGGTTGTGACAGGGAACTGTTTCTCTTCTAAATGTAGCACTTCCCAAAGGTTTCTTGTAGACTTCCTCAACCCTCTCATCCACAAAATAAGCTCCTTATAACCCTAGGGTTAAGATCTGTTGGAGCCACTGAGTGGCCTTTCAAGCATAGCTGGAAGGCAAAGGCAAGTATTGCAGCTTGGCATGTATTTCCCCACTTGTGTGTAAGAGCCCAGAAAAAGAGCTTGCTGCCATGCTGTCAAGCCATGAAARCACTATCTTTCCATCAGAATTTTTCCAAATTTTCACAATATTCTGTCTTTTCACAATATTACGGTTGCACAAAGTCCCACCAACAGAAGGGGACCTCATGTGAGCTTAGTGAGCTTGAAGTGAACMTGTTTTCTTCCATTCCTTCACATGTTTATTTAGTCACATTTTTCTGAAAAAATAAATACACTGAATGTTGTATGTCATGATTAATAATTAGTGCCTCATTTGCTGTGTCATCATCCAGTCATTTTTCTAGAATATCTGTGGCAATATGCTCTTCTACTCAAAATATATGTATAGAAGAAAAATATATGTCCCAGAAGGTGAGACAACTGACATGTTACAATAATGTACTAAAAATACTATCTCAGTGCTGTAACCAGCTCACTAGTTTTGCATACTAGCTCCAGTAATTAACAAATATTGTATGAGATTGAAGTAAGAGGATGGTCTTGTGGTGAAGGCACTGCATGGAGAATTGCTGGTGGAGCCTCTGAGCTCATACTGTACTGCAGTACTGCAATACTGATAAATAATAATAGTGAAAAAGGCTCCATGAAACTCTGTGGCTGTCCTTAATTATGTAGGAAGGGAAGGCATTAAATTTATATTGGTTGGCACAGGAACTGCCAGTCAATTTTTGACCCTTACTGTTTGAGTTTACATTTAACCACATAAAAGAAGAAACTCTCCATAGTTCCACTTCAAATAGGCATAATACAACTTTAATGTGACCTTGTTTAGAACTATCAGGAGAGCTGTTAGAGAAATGTGCTTTTGAATTCTCCATTGTGAAAGAGGAATTTATGCGCTTCACATGCAAGTGTCAGTGGAAATGTGTTTTCAGCTTCAGCCAAAAGTGAATATTTTCATATCAAAGTGAAATAACACCAGCAATGTTTAGAGATTACTATCTTCTGTAATATGATAAAAACAAGACTCTTCAGTGGAATCTCAGTATGTATTGTAAGAATTAGCTTGACATTAAACTAATATTGTAAGGTAGTGCTAGAAGTAAAATGGTTAGCAAATCAAGAGCAATGTTTTTGGTTCTTAGGATCTCCTTTTTTTGTTGGTTTTTTACCCTGGAAACCAARTAAGCCAAATACCATATCCTGCAACAGGCATATCCTCTGCAGATATATGTAAAAGTAATAATAAAGTAGCAGCTTGACTACGGAACTGGCTAAAAGAAGGGGCTTTTCTTCTCTCAGAATTAAGGTTGTAACAGAGCTATACAGAGAGTCTTGTGGATGGCAGTACACTGGCTGGCTTGAGAAGCTGCAATGCCTGCTGAAGTTTTGCTTTTTTAGCAGACATGCAGAGATGGAAGTAGCGGGGCACAGCTAGCAAGCTATAACCACACATCTGCTGTGTGGTGGTAAATTGTGTCTTCTGTGATGCAGGAGGGTGAAAATAGGAGGACTTAAGGGTCAGCAACATATTGTAGCATCAAGACTGGGGTGCCTGAGCACCCTTCCATTAAACTTGCATGGTAGGTAGCATAAGAAGTCACAGGAATGAGCAGTGTGAGCAGGTTCACTTGGAGCACTAC